TTTGTAAAACGGTTATTCTTTTAGTTTTGCGACCTTTTTTAGCCAAGTTATGACAATATAACCCTTAGTAAATTTCGAATTTTTGGCAAAAGTCGTTTTCCCGATTTTCCGTCAAAAAATAATCCGATTTTTGGACATAACTTTAAAAATATTAGTCCAAATATGGAATGCTATAACTCGATGAGCTCGTAATTAAATTTACAAACTTTTGGCGTTCAAAGTTTGAAATCTTAAAATTTTGCCATTTTTTGTAAATTTTGATGATGTTACCCCTTGCCAAAAATGCGAAAATTGGCCCAAAAGTGAATTTCGCTTAGTCGGCCAAAAAGTGATAGGGATCGTTAGTATTAATAAAAAGCTTTTTAAAACGGTTATTCTTTTAGTTTTGCGACCTTTTTTAGTCAAGTTATGACAATATAACCCTTAGTAAATTTCGAATTTTTGGCAAAAGTCGTTTTCCCGATTTTCCGTCAAAAAATAATCCGATTTTTGGACATAACTTTAAAAATATTAGTCCAAATATGGAATGCTATAACTCGATGAGCTCGTAATTAAATTTACAAACTTTTGGCGTTCAAAGTTTGAAATCTTAAAATTTTGCCATTTTTTGTAAATTTTGATGATGTTACCCCTTGCCAAAAATGCGAAAATTGGCCCAAAAGTGAATTTCGCTTAGTCGGCCAAAAAGTGATAGGGATCGTTAGTATTAATAAAAAGCTTTGTAAAACGGTTATTCTTTTAGTTTTGCGACCTTTTTTAGTCAAGTTATGACAATAATCCCATTAGTAAATTTCCAATTTTTGGAAAAGTCGTTTTCCCGATTTTCCGTCAAAAAATAATCACATTTTTGGACATAACTTTAAAAATATTAGTCCAAATATGGAATGCCATACCTCGATGAGCTCGTAATTAAATTTACAAACTTTTGGCGTTCAAAGTTTGAAATCTTAAAATTTTGCCACTTTTTGTAAATTTTGATGATGTTACCCCTTGCCAAAAATGCGAAAATTGGCCCAAAAGTGAATTTCGCTTAGTCGGCCAAAAAGTGATAGGGATCGTTAGTATTAATAAAAAGCTTTTTAAAACGGTTATTCTTTTAGTTTTGCGACCTTTTTTAGTCAAGTTATGACAATATAACCCTTAGTAAATTTCGAATTTTTGGCAAAAGTCGTTTTCCCGATTTTCCGTCAAAAAATAATCCGATTTTTGGACATAACTTTAAAAATATTAGTCCAAATATGGAATGCTATACCTCGATGAGCTCGTAATTAAATTTACAAACTTTTGGCGTTCAAAGTTTGAAATCTTAAAATTTTGCCATTTTTTGTAAATTTTGATGATGTTACCCCTTGCCAAAAATGCGAAAATTGGCCCAAAAGTGAATTTCGCTTAGTCGGCCAAAAAGTGATAGGGATCGTTAGTATTAATAAAAAGCTTTGTAAAACGGTTATTCTTTTAGTTTTGCGACCTTTTTTAGCCAAGTTATGACAATATAACCCTTAGTAAATTTCGAATTTTTGGCAAAAGTCGTTTTCCCGATTTTCCGTCAAAAAATAATCCGATTTTTGGACATAACTTTAAAAATATTAGTCCAAATATGGAATGCTATACCTCGATGAGCTCGTAATTAAATTTACAAACTTTTGGCGTTCAAAGTTTGAAATCTTAAAATTTTGCCATTTTTTGTAAATTTTGATGATGTTACCCCTTGCCAAAAATGCGAAAATTGGCCCAAAAGTGAATTTCGCTTAGTCGGCCAAAAAGTGATAGGGATCGTTAGTATTAATAAAAAGCTTTGTAAAGCGGTTATTCTTTTAGTTTTGTGACCTTTTTTAGCCAAGTTATGACTATATAAGCCTTAGTAAATTTCGAATTTTTGGCAAAAGTCGTTTTCCCGATTTTCCGTCAAAAAATAAAAAAAAAACAATTTTTCTCTGTATATCTGATTTTCCGTCAAAAATAATCTGTGTATACTCATGGCATTAGATATAATGGACATATTTCACAAAAAATCCGAAAAAATCTGAAGTATGTGAAGTGAATTTCTGGTACTTTATGTATGTGGGGCTTAGTTGAAACTACGTGATGACTCTAGCCCCAATCCCCGCGTTCATGTAGTTGTGTGAAGGTCACGTGGTCGTACTGCACACCACCCAGCCAAAGAGAACCACCAGCACCACCCTTTCGTAGCCTGTCGAATTTCGACAGTGAGTTTAATGAAGTGCAACGAGAACTGCAAGCAATTGAAATGCATTTGGCATTTTGCGGGAAGAGTACTTGAATGTGGGATAAAAAAAATCTGCACCTGAGGATGCAGTGCTTCCCTATTTTCCAAAATATTTATCGTTTTTTTTTTGTTTTTTTTTTGTGGCAACACCAAGGACCGTTGAACATGCCACACGCATTGGCAAAATAAAAGTAAAAATAAAAACACAAGGATGCAACACCCCTTCATTTTCTTTGCGGGCTGTGTGGCAAAACTGTTCCCACTCTGTAAACTCGGCTGTTAAGTCGCACTCTGTCGACGTCGCTGCCTCTGCCGGCGTCGGCGCCTGCGCTTGTCCTGCCAATGGTCTTTCGGATTTTCCACTCGGTTTTCCCTTCGTCGGGTTGTTCTAAAAATATTTAGAACCCACTTTTGGGACGTGACCCACCAACTGGGTCTCGGTTTTTTGGGACTCGTCGCATTCAGCGATTCGCAGCGCACAGGAGCAGTTGCACAGGGCGTATGCGCAATGCTTGCCCCAATATTTAGCATGGGCAAAAGACGAGAAAGGCCAAAATTAGCATAGAGCAAAAGGTAGGATCGAGTGGAGGGCTTTTGCACGTTTGAGTTGCAAATGCACTTGACTTGGAGACTTCGTTGGGTCAACTTCCTCATTACGTCGTCGCTTATGATGATAATTTCTGGCCACCAGATGGGTCTCCATCTGCACATAGTTCGGCCTGGCAGGCAGCATGGTAAGACACGATTTCTGGAATGGGCGCCTCAACAAGTTGAAGAAGCCAGCTACTCCAAGTTTCCGGAATGACTGACTCGCCAGTCAAAGTTAAACTGGGCTATTGTCTAGTGCTTGAATGGTTATGGAACTTTCGAGTTGCTGGAATTTCTATCTGTGGGGGGGAGATGAAATCAGATATCCAAACTAGCAAGTTCCCTAATGACGGGCAGCAGCTGAGATTCAGAGATTGTAACGTGGGCAAAATTATAGGCTTGATTCCAAGTGCCATAAGCCTGGTGTTCAAACCTCTAGCTAATGTTCAAATTTAACTAAATTAGGCATATATATGGCCTTGATTATATTTGCAGTACTCTGTTTATTGTGCTTAAGCAAGCCGAATAAATATAAACTCAGCTAATGAAAGACAAATAGGCAGAAAAGGTAATGGAGTCGATCAAAAATCAAAATAATACAAAAAGCGTAAAATAAATTATAATTATAATAAGTAATAAATAAAGGAATATATGCCAGTTGGCAACGAGACTCCGCGCAGCGGTTTTCACACGCAATTAACATATTCTCTCTGTTGCATTTAAATTGCTGCATATGGATTACGCGCACTGTTGTCCATTCAGCGCATTTCCCGTCAAACCTGTTCGTTTCAGAATTCAAAGTGCGTAAAACTTGGCGTTTTCCGCTATTTTGCAACCGCGTGCAATCGCAACCGTGCACCTTGAGAAAGGCTGGCAACACTGATTACGCTGTGGTCGCTGACCCCACCCATCGAAGGCCGCCCAAGGCCACTCATGTCCAAACCACCACCCACCACCCACTGCCCACTGCCCATCAATGCCTTCTCGCGCTCCTTTATTAATTACTTGTTTTTCACAGTGCGTTTTTTTATTCAATTACTTGTACAAATTGCAAACGGACAAAAATAAAAATGGCAAGCAAAAAAAATGAGCAAGTAATCGGCTACGTTGGGTCATCAGGTGCGCGAATAAATGTTGCAATTTGTATGATAGCCCCCGACCTCTGACCCCGTCTACACTCCCACTCCCACACCCCCTCCCCCGTTCGACCGACAACTTCAGGCGTCACTTTGCAGTCGCATTAAACAATTAACAAGTGTAATTGATAAACAATTAGCGGCATTATGAGCCAGCCGCAATGGTGATGAAGGTATACCCACATGTGCAAGCCGTATAAACAAAGGAAACTCGGTGCTCAATCCAAGAAAACAAGTTCGCAACGAAGTGTACTCTGAAAAAATCTACCAAAACAGTAATCAAGTAATTCCATTAATACCATAGAATATCGTTAAACGCCCTAGGCCAAACCAAAAACCTGTTTAAGAACAAACGTGAAAATATTCAAAGTATGATTATCCAAATAAGCGATAAGCGTGAGTAAGGGTATTGCATTGTTGTGGATAGGTTGTGAGGCCCATGTGGTGCAAATAAGTATAATAAATGCTTGATAAGGCGAGAATAATTTGTTTATAAAACCCAGCCAATTCTCAGAAAGCGCTAATGACCAAACTACACGAAAAAATATGATATATTAGCATTACTTTTGGACAGTGTGTCGGTACATAAGCATATGCATATATGTGTATACATATGTATATACCAGTTGTATACCCTTTAAACAATTGGCCTTATGTCAACGAAGCTGAAGATTGGGATGAATAAGCAAACCAGATAGGATCATTCAAATATTATATGGTATTTTACAACTAACTATATGTACGCTTATTCATTTAAAGTATAACTATTAGCACATTAATAATTATTAATATGTGTTAAATAACATAATATATCAAACAAATTTTGAAGAATGTTCATGGACCCGATAGCAGTTGGGTATCATCAGAAAAAAACCCCCGAAAACTACAGAATTGCTTGAAAAAATTTCAATGTATAATGACAATTTATAGACGTTATAGTCTATCGGCCAGCCCAAAAAACCAGTCGGATCGTCTACGCCCATCCAATGCAGGGGGCGGGGGCCGCGGGGGTGGGGCAGTAGTCTTGGGTTCGAGACACGCTAAGTGCCGTCTATATAAACAAACGCCAAGCGTTGATCTCCATTTAGTTGTCTAGTCGAGGGAAACCAAATCAGACGATAATGCGCGCATCCACATTGTTATTCGGCCTGCTGCTGGTGGCCAGCTGCTCCTCGATTCTGGCCAGGCCGCAGGAGAGCACTACTCCCAGCACCACCACCACCACCACCACCACTACGACTCCGAAGCCTGAAGAGTCGACTACAACCACAACCACAACGACTACGACCACGACCACGACCACGGAAAAGCCCAAATCGGAGTCCACAACTGCCAGTACCACCACCACAAGCACCACTCCCAGCACCACTCCCAGCACCACCCCCAGCACCACCCCCAGCACCACTCCCAGCACCACTCCCAGCACCACCACAACCACTACTACGACCACCACGCCGAAGCCCGATGATGATGAGGCCGCCAAGCTGCTGCAGCAGTGTGCCGAGCTGAGCCGCAGGAAGAAGCGAGGTGGATCCTCCTCGTCCGAAGAGGACGACAGTGGCGAGAAGAAATCGGCGAAGAAAGAGCGCAAGCAGTTGAAGAAACTGTGCAAGCAGTTGAAGAAGCAGCAGGAGCGCAAGCAGGAGAAGGCCCAGAAATCAGCGTTGTCCGAACTGGCTGATGCCTTGAAAAACTACAACCAAAAACAGAAGAACTAATGTTGTGACAATAAATATGTATATTTTTTTTAAACCTTTTTTTTTTATTGTTTTTAGTGTACTTTATATTACTTATCAAAAAGTATGCCAATAAAATGGATCTTTAAAAAAGAGAACACATGTCCTCACTTCACTTGTGATGTCCTTCAAAACTTCTACAATATAATTTTCCTTATCAGAGGTGATACTAGCCGAAAATTAAGGAAATTAAAAAACACACGTTGTATAAATCCAACAAAACTGTTCGCAGATAGTAGGGTATCCATTTTTGTGTAGATTTTTGAATATGGATTTGAGCATGGGATGAGCACGTGAAAGACCTGCAGCTTTCTGAATAAAATCGAATAAATCTAATCAAATTTGTTTCGATTTTTCTTTCCCTTTTTATCGTTTTTATTGCCGCAAATAAAGCAAAACTAGTAGAAAGTACAAACAAATTTGATTTGTAATCGATTTTAGCTTTATTTGCTTGTACATTAGCACTGCATACGTCAAAATAAATCGTTCAAAACGGGAACACTTTTTTATACACATTTTGCGGAAGGAGAAAGTCCATTTTTTGTAGCATCAATATTTAAGCTATATACGCTTATTCGTTTTCCTGATGAAGCCAATTTATTTGTTAAATCTACGCAGCTCACGACTAACCTCTTACCTTGGCAAACAAGTATTTTGAGATTAGTTATTATTTCGAAAACACATCCGCCAAGCCCGAGCAGTATCTAAATAAAAACCAGACCCACAAGTTTAACGCTGTAACAGCGATTTTTACAAGGGCAGTTCGATGGGAGGAAATAATATAAACACAAAACATAACTTTCCAGCCAAATAGGTTATGTTTATATTTAATTCGACTAGCATAGATCTTCGAACAAACACGTTTCAGTATATTTTTCTTTGTTTTTTGCTTTTCTGCATAGTTGAACCTTTATTGCTGTTGGCCAGTTTTGGCTTGAGGTCAATTTGAAAATGCGGGCTGCGGACCAAGAAAGCAATTTGCATAATCCACGTATATGTATGAGAAACCAAGCGCAAAGAGACGAGAATTTTTTGGACAGCGGCGAAAATCGAAGAAGAAATATGAATGCTAATTAGTTTGAGCCATTGAACTCTGCTCGATGGGCGGTGAGGGGAAAGTGTCGGAAAGTGTAGGAATTACCAATGGATCACTGAAAGAAACCATAGTATTATAGCCCACATGCTCAGCGTATCCAAACTGATAAACGTACTTCTTCTATTTCACGCAAGTCAGGTTGAATGCATAGAATAGAGTTTTCTCAACAAACTGGCCGTGATTTGGCCATGGTTTTTTGGGCAGTGTTTGCCCTGCCAAAATGGGTCGCTCCTAGCCATTCTCCGCCTGACACGCTTTGAACTCGCAGACTTAATTATGCAAAAATCCCAAGCGAAAGAGGCCGAGAAATGATTCTGGCCGAAATGCCGTTAGCCAGTGAGTTAATATAAGCCGGGATCCCAGCTTGAAAGGCGATTCAGTCGATCGAGAAGCGAACAAGAGCTAAGATAATGATGTGCGGCAAGGGATTCGGGATGATCCTGGTCCTGTTTTGGGCCACGGCCCTTTCCAGCGACCTCACGCTGGTGAGCGGTAAATTTTTTTGCCCTGTTTTGCTAGTAACTTGAATGTAATATATGAATGTGTCTCCGCATTGTTTGTTTTTTTTTTATGTTCATTGTTTCCGTGATGCCAAAGGTCAAACGGTGGCGCCGCTGACGAGCTCCACGAGTGCCCCGCCCAAAATGGAGGCCAAGCCCACGAAGCCCATGATTGTGAATGCACCGCCAAAGAAAGTGCAACTCCCGGAAGCTCCGAAAAGCAATGGCAGCAAGCCGCTGCAGGTCACCGGCTTCATCACCAAGTCGGGCAACATCTACGAGATCGAGGACAAGCGGGGCTCCATTGGCACCATTGGCTCCGTCGAGGGTCGCCAGGCGGGTCAGGATCAGATTGTGTGCAACTATGGCAACGTGGTGATCTACAGCGATGTGCCCTGTGACCAGGTCAAGAATGTGCGCGTCGGCGAGGTCAAGCCCCTGAAGGAGGATCCCGTCGCCGAGGCGACCACTGAGAAAAATCAGGCCGATGGCGAACAGCAATCGCAGCAGATGCAGCAGGCGCAGCAGCAGCAGGACGCAGCTGATGGTCAGGATCAGGATCAGGATCAGGACCAACAGCAGTCCGTGCAGCCGAACAATCCTCGGGGTCAGCAGAACAATCGTCGACGTCGCCGGCGTCCGCAGCAGCAGCAGCAGCAGCAAAGGTTGCAACAGCAACGCCGTCGGCGACGGCAGCAACAGAAGTTGCAGCAGCGACGCAACGGCAACGGCAACGGCAACTTGCGTCGTCGTCGTAACCGCAACAACAACAACAACATGAATCGCCAGCAGCAGCGACGTCGTCGCCCCGGCAACAACAACAACAACAGGCGACGCCTCAACAGCAACAACAATCAGCGACAGCAGCCACAACGCCGCCAGCAGCAACAACAACAGCAGCTACGCCGTCGCCGCCCCAACAGAAATATCAATCGACAGCAGCAGCAGCAGCGGCGTCGCCTTCACGACGGCAACAACTGAACGGGTTAAGAAATGGACTAAAGCTGCCCGCGGCCCACCATCTACGACCTACGACCTACGACCTCTGAACACAAACTGCCCGAATAAAGCAACAACAGCAACAAGAACAAGAACAACAACATCAGCATGAACAAACGAAAGCAACATACAAACGAAAGCCCCAAATGGAAAATTCACTTTGAGTTGGTCTTTTTGGTCCTGGGAAATCAACACGGGGCAGTAATTAAAACAAGTGCACTCCACGCTGAGAACTCCTCCTCATGGCGGGCGGTTAGGTGGAGGGGGCGGGGCGGCGGGCAGCTTAAGTCCGAGAATAACTTTAATTCACTGGAATCAAAATAGATGATTCCATTGGAGCCGAGGCGTGGGCGGCATAAAGGGAAGATTACTTTAACCAACAGCAGTTACATTTTTTCTTAGAAAATACGCTTTTTATATATTTTCATCAGGAAATTATCAGTATTTTTTCCGACAACAATGGAAACTGGTTAGCGAAGTATCGAATGTTATGTTGCGGAGGGTTCGGTATAGAATCTCCAATCTTTCGATAATTAAGCCCATAAAAGTTTCAATTTCATCCATATTGCAAACACTACTGATAAAAAAATGGGGAAAAAACGGGCAAACAATTTATTTTGGCATATCAGCATCGAAGTGATGAGAACAGTATTTTTTTGTTTATAGCAGTACACAGAAATATTTTGTTCGTTCCGATTTTCGGTTTAAAAATACACTTTTTAACAGCAGCTTCAACAGCAATGTAATATGTGCTCAAAAACCCATAATATAAACTGCTTTCTAGCTGGAATTGCATGCGCAAAAGATTGGTGCTAAGAGTTAATTTCATAAGTTGGAAATCTACCAAAGTCCCCCACTGTTTTCTTATTTTTTTAATCACTCTCGCATGAGCACGATCAAAGCGACTGCAATTTGTTTGAATTTGGGGAGCGACTTTGTGTTCGGCGTTGCCAGCTTGTCACTTTAATTGTAACTAGATTTTCGACCCCCTGCACTCCCCTACATTCAGATGTATATGTAGGGGTTGTATATATATCTATATATATAATTCTGGGGTTTTTCGGAGGGTAAAAATGAAGGGGTCGCTTGGGGCTGCGATGTCAACGTCAGCATCAGTTACACCAAGAAATTTGCGCGCTTGGGCCCAGCGCGCTTAACACATAAAACAAACAACAGCACGGTGGCGGTGGGCGGAGGGCGTGGAGCTGTGGGCGGCATAAGGGGTGTGGGGGGCGGGAGGCGTGGCAGGTGTGGGGAACGAGAGTGCTGCGAGCCAAGCGCGGCAAGAAAGTCATTCAAAAGTCAACCAACTTTCTTTTGAAACACGTTAAAGAGCAGCAGTGAAAAAAATCCAGTGCACAAAACGATGCAATGGGGGGGGAGTCGAGGTTTAAGGACTAAGGTGGCCAGAGGGAGGGGGTCGGAGGCGGGGGCGGGGGCGGTTAGGGAGCGGACTATGACATCGCCCCCAACCAACTGCTGTTGCTGATTTTCCTTTGTTGTTTGCATGCACACAACGAGCGGCGAAAGGATGGCTGCACTTGCCGACTTGCGCACTTACACTTGGAGAAAAACTGTGCTGCTATACAAAAGAACAACTCAAATGTACCATTTACAGCCTTGCTTTTGGAAGCGTTGTGATGCCTGATGATCCACACACACATTTCCCATAGGCCGATGCTGCCGGTTCGCTGGTTCCCTCCCGAGTTCATGAAATTTTTGCCAGTGCAGCCGCCTTCCAGCAGATGGGTTGCCATCTCTCCAAGGAGCCATCAAAATGTGACGTTGTCGCCGCCGTTGTTGTTGCTCTTGCTGGTGGGTATCGCTGTCATGCGTTGAGCCTGCAAGTTTATCACCTCATTGTTCTTGCACGCCCCTGTCTTCCCCCCCGACAAGCTCCCCCAGCCACGCCCCCATCCATGCCCGACAGCCCAGCCTCGTGTCCCGCCCACAGTGTCCTTATGGCTGTTGCTGTTTTGTGGCTTTATCGCTGACTGTGGCAGTTGGGCGAGCGAACCGCAGCTGCAGCTCCAACTGCAGTTACTGCCGCCGCTGCCGTCGCTGCCATCGCTGCCATCGCTGCCGTAGCAGCAGCAAAATCAACAGCAGCTCCAAGCAGCCGCAGAATGCCGGGCGGCATTTTTAAGGGCGGGGCGGTGCCAAGCTGTATGTGAGGGAGATGCAGGCTTTTGCGGTTGCCGAGGACAATGGCCAAGTCATAAGCGGCGAATGCAGCAGGCATTTAAGCCCCACAACGTCGCGGTCAATGGCAAAAACAATTTTCGGTCAATTAACATTGATCAGGCGGATGTGGCGCGCCTTTCGAGTCAATCAAGGCAGTTGGTTGTCAAGCACTTGGGAAATGCTAAAGCAGCATCAATTCAAATGAATTGATCAAATCAATTCAGTGGCAAATCTTGCAGTTCAATTGGGTTCTATTATTACGACGTTGGCAACTCTACATGTCAGGGCTGCCATCGGTATACGTTTTCTTTGCACTCCTTTGCAAGAGTTACCCAACACACATTTCTCATTAGCCCAGCCATTGGCTGCGGGTGCTTTCGGCACACTTTTATTTTTCGGTGCTCGAGAATGGCCAAAAGAAGCAGCCAGAATCCAGAGTTGACCCCCATCCGCAGTGCCTCGCAGTGAGTTGCAACTAATTTCAGTTTAATTTGTGTCAGTCTTTGCCGGCGTCTGCGTCTGCGTCTGCTTGTGCGTCTGCCGTTTTCTTTATTTTCGCACTTGGCCCGGTTACTTATTATCCCTGAGCGACGTGTAAATGCTGCTAATGACGACGTCAAAAGAAGCCGCCATCAGCAGGATACAAAAGGTCCTTCCCGACATGCCGCGGACACCCCGGCCTTAACGAGTTCCGTGTTTAATTTGCCGGATTTATTATTTTAATTTGCGCCCATTTCGTATTCCACATTTCACATTTCGCATTTCGCGTTGCGGCTCTTTGAGTTTCGATTTCGATTGCGGCACTAGGAGGCACTTTGACCCTGTCAGAGCTCCTGACAACCTGACAACCCTAAGCCAGGGTTTTCTATACACCCACAAAACGCCTGAGAACAGGTCGCACAGTCCGGGGGAAAGTACTTATTTAATTTTCATTACCAGCAGACACAGGATATTTCTGGCACGTCTTGGTTGCCGATAAGTACACGTGCAAAAAATTGTTTATGCTAACTTGAAGGTGAAATGGCGGATTCGCATTTAACAATTGGCACAGTCTACTCGTTTCCTTCAGTGCCCCTTCATTAGGAACAAAGTAGCATAAATATCCATTTTGGTTACAACCCGAGGGCTTTTTCGCCTGCTGATCTAAAAAGCAGGCAAAGATTTTTGCCAGGCGATTTAAATAATTGACAGATTATTCTGCGACGAGCGCCGTTGGCCATCTTTGTTTGTGTAGCCAGAGTTTTTTATTTTTATTTTTTTTCGGTAACAAAACCAACACTACACCCCCTTGCCGCCCTTGGAATCATCAGCAGGAGGTCAATTGAATGGTTTTGTACTCTTGTCCCGGCCAAAGAAACCATTACTTGCTTTTCTACAATGCGACCGTTAAACTGTTTTATCTTTATGCGATTATGTCTGCTGGTCTATCCACCACCCCCCACCCAACACCCCCACCACCCACTGGCCCACCACCCACTGGCCCACTAATGCGTGTGCGTGGCCCAAAAGAGAGGGACGGAGCAACTCTTTGCCCAAAGGATTTGTGTTTAACAAAGTTAAGTAGAAGACGTGCTCAGGCACGTTTCCACATCGCCACCACCCAGCGCCACCCAGCACCACCCATCACCACCCACCTGCAGCACCTCCCTCCAGCGTCGCCGCCCCCCTTGTTCTACATTTGTGCGCTGTCAATATTAGTGGCTGCCACTCGAAACTTTGCACAATGGCATTGGGGTATTTGAAAAACTGACAGATTCATTGGCGGACCGAGCAAAAAATATATGAAGCAATGGGCGGAAAAGTAGAATAAACCAAGGGCAAATACCTTAAGTCGGGATTGAAAATGTGAGGCAGAGAGAAACCGCCAGAAGGGCAGCGATGCTATCGCAATAGCCCATTTAGTTTTATGAACACTTTTTGAGTTCTCATATTAAATATTCTAATTAAGGAACTGACTCGCTAACGCCACATCGACACATACATTTGGTACAGACACTCGAAAAGTGGTCCGAAATCCACTAGACCGTCGTGTTAACCATCTCGGCTGGATCCTTCCATTTTACAGGGCCAACTTGTCTGGCTAAGAAATAAAATATTTTGTGCTAATTTTGTCACGGCCTTCCTTTTTCGGTTTTCCCCGCACTCGTTTTCTCGTTCCGCTCCCCCGTCCAGCTTTTCCATTACCCGATTTCCCCTTTGATTCGTTGCCATTCGCGGAGGCAACAACTTTTTGTCAGTTGTTTTAACTTGGCCTCGGGACAGAAAAGAGGGGTGGAGCTTTCTTTGCCGCCAAAGAAGTCGGAAAATAAGTGGATGATGGGGTTGGAAACAGGGCGGAAAAGGGTGGTGGGGGGAAGGGGACTTTTGTGTTATCTGCAGTCAGTTAGTAGCGCAAAACTTTTTAAACGTTTTCGAAACAAGTTGAAATTTAAATAAACCTTTCCAATTTTTTGACGATGCCATTAACTCTGAGCAGTTTGGTCTCCCCGTCTCTTTTGCTCCTTTTTATGGCCGTCCCTCTCCATCTGACTTTCGCTATCTCTTTCGTGTGACTCGCAGACCCTACACAACAAAATCGCCAGAGAAATGAAACTTTGTGTGTAATTTTGACAAATAAAAAATTTGAAAAATACAAAAGGCAACTGCAACTTTGCAAAGAGTTCCTAGGCCAAAAATCTTCCCTCTTAAGCCCGCTTAAAAAGCTTCCCACCCCTCGAAAAAAAAAACCAGCTACATAAAATCGACTTAAATTTTTATTGCCGGAAAAACCATCAGGCAAAAGTAAATTCGCTAAAATCGCCTTATGGCCCTACATTTTTAACCCACCAACGTCCAAGGTTCTCAACCCACATTTCCCATTTCTTAGTCTATACAGTGATTTCTCCCAAAAGAGAACACTACACTATGTGGGTAAATTATGAACGATTCGCTGAAAGAAACGTTCTATATTCAATAGTTTACTGTTTCAAGTGTGCACTCTATATATACATTTATTTTATATTTTTTGTAACACTACGAGTATAATATTTCGCTCGGCCCTTAAAATAACTAGAGCATCTGACCAGGAAGTAGAGCAAAAACAAGAAGAAGAATTAAAGGAGGCTAGAAGAGAAAACAAGGGGGAAAGGAAAATAGGAATATATAAGAGGATGCAGCCAAAAAGCGGCGTTAAAAAAGTGCCAACAAAATAATAAAAAGCTAACTTTTTACCAAGTTGACTTTGACACATTGGGCCAAACAAACACACAGTTGTTGGAAAGAGATAGACAAACAACTTTAAGAAAGAGACGGCCAGCGGCTGAGGGAAAGAGACGGACGAGGTGGCAAGTTACTGCAAGCATGAAAATGCCCGAAAATAAGTGCAGCAGAATATTTATTTGTGTTGCATTAAGCAAAATGCGAGTGGACATAAAGAACTTATGGAGAAATGTACTCTAAAATGCATATTGCCGCCTGTCAAAGCAGTGAAAACGTGGAGCATTTAATGCATTTATTAAACCTATCCAATGAAAGCACCAGCCGTTCAATTGATATCCAAACAGACAGATAAATGCATACATATTTTATTTCTTCACTTAGGCAAAGCAATTAAATTCTAATAAATCTATTAGCAAATAAAATGCAGTTTTTCCAACTTAGTATGGCGCCATGAAATTGCTTGCCACATTCACCTTTCAACTACAACTTGAATATTTTATTTAGCCAACAAATTTATTGAATACTCTGCGCGTTACACAAAACACTCTATGTGCCCCATTAATTTGCCTTATCCCGGGGTACGTGTAATTAACATCAGCTCATAGCCAAAACTAAAAAGAACTAACAAGAGCAGAGGGCCAAGAAAAGATACGGTATGCGAGTCGAGAACAAGTCGAAACGAAGTGAGATTAATGGATTTAATCGCGAAAAATCAGTGATAAGCTCGCGAATAAATGGTGCCTCATTAGGACCGCGCCCAATGACCGCGCTGGAGCCTCTATAAAAGCCAAAAAACTGCTGCTCACCATTCACAGTCACCACTCACCGCAAGCCAAAGCAAAATGCAGCCTCCAACGCAGTCCTATTCCTGCCCGCCTCTCTGGGCTGTCCTTTTGTGCGTTAGCCTGGCCAGGAGCGCGCCGCTGCAGTCTAATACCTACGTCCTTCCGTTGCCCTGGAACAATGTAGTTGGGACCTTCGGCTTCCCAGAACAGCAGGAGCAATCCCAGTTCAAAATTCCACAGCCGCGTGCGCTCTCTGTGAGCGTGGAGGATGCGAGTGGAGACAGTGCACAGGCGGAGGATGATCTGCAGCAGGTTCTATGGCTCACCAGTGGACTGATTCCCGCCCAGATTGTCCAGCGTAGCCAGGGCCGGAACAATGAGGGCAGGTTCTTTGGGCGCGGCGGCTCCACCGTGGTGGTGGTCACCGGTGGATCCGGCGACGTTAGCAACACTAACAACAGCACGTTTGTAAGCCCAGCTGCAGCTGCAGCCCCAGCCACAACCACAACGGGCACTCGAACCTCGGAGTTTATCCGGGCGCCAATTGCTTACCCGGCCATGCAATACTTCCGGAAGCGGCAGGATGACGGATCATCGCTATCCTATCCGGAGCTCTTCGGCTGGAACGCGGCGTCTTTCTACGGCGACGATTTGGGTTTGAGTGGCGGCCCCAATGGGGGCTACAGTCTGCCGGGAGTGCCCTTGGTGCCAATCACCGTTGGCAACGAGGTGCGCTATGTCCCACTGAATCTCCGGATGTACCGGCAGTTTGTCGGTGATGCCCCCTCTCTTGCTCCCGCTACACTGCCGGCCATCAGGGAGCAGGATGATCAGCTGGAGGACGACGATATATCCGCCTTGGCCATGGGCGCCGACCTGGAAATACTGAACGAGAGTCCCAATGAGGCCAATGGCGGCCAAGAGGTGGCAAGTTCCGGCCACTCGGTCGTCGATTCATCGGGCTTTGGTATTCTTGGCCAGCGGCTGAGACCCCGTCCTTTGGCCAGGAGGCGACCACTGCAGACACTGGCCCAGAATATTCGCCGGGTGCAGTACCTCACGCAGTAATGGCCAGATAGCAGGAATTACCAGATCAACATGACCACAATGAGCATTAGAATTTAACATTTTTTTTTTTTTTTACACAGCGCAAATAAAATGAAATGTAAGTGATTAAAGGTTTCATGAAATCTAAACGCAGCTGATTGACAAACTTTAATTGGAATCAATTGCACTGGCAATCTAAACACCGAACTTGTCAAATGTAAATCTAAATCTTATTTATATTACAGCAGGGCTAAAAATGAAAAATAAATCAATAATGAATATTTGAACTACTTGTCTTACTTTCAATGCGATAGCTTTCAGTTTTGTATAATTCCGTTTTTATCTAGAGGTATATGATAGTTTGTAGGACCACAACAATTTATGTGAGCCCATCTGTGTGCATAGAAGAAGTGCAAAAATGCAAACATCTTTTCGCGAAACTGCACCCATCGCCGCGTTGGCCCAATAACATTAAGTTGATAAGTTTTTCCATTGGCCAGAGGAAAAACTTTTCAATTTTCCAGCAAAGCTTCACTTATTACCCATAAGCATTTTACATGAGCTCAAAAGGAGAAAGTTTTTCAATAGGGGGAAAGCCCCATGAAATAGATGCGCTAAATAGATCGATTTTAATTTGCTGCAAAGGCAATTCAATCAGTTAGAAATATGGTCATTTATGTGTAGCAAGGAAAGAGAGGGTTATGCCAAATTATCTGACAAATGTTTGCGATGGAAATGTAGAAAATCCCAAATGGCAAAATGGCAAATAGTAGACGTTTTTCCACACCCACTCCGCCCAAATTTTGTATGTGTGTCTAATTGATGGCAACATTCTGGGCTCTCAACTGTCAAGAAACTCAATAATAACAACAGATAGACGTAGAGCTGCCCTCCCACATTTCGCACAGCCTGAAACCTGACTGAGACACAATAACAAATTAAATAAATATAAGGAGCTTTTAAGTTAATAGAAAATTCTATAATTGAATTTTATGCCGAGCAGCGTCTGGCTTCCACTTCTGAGGGCCTCCAGAACTCAGAACTCAGAACTCAGACCTCAGGACTCAGACCCTTGAATATATTTAATCAGAAATGCAAGCAAAATAATAACCACCAATGGAATTCCCTTAGAATATAAAACGCTCAAAAACACGAGCCCCAATTTAAATTATTGATTGGCCAGGCAAAATAAATGAAATTTAAGCAAAGCAAAAGGTAACGAAACAAACAAAAAATAAATAAAACAAAGGAAAACGCATTGCAAATTATGATTGAATCGTAGATTTTAAATTTTTCCCATCAGCATTGCGGAATAATGTATAAATATAGCTTCTCCAATTATTTTACAGGACACATATTTTACATATTCCCAATATAAATGCAAGGGATTTAATTGGTTACTATAAGCTGTTTTTCCGTCCACACATAAATTAATCTTTTAAATTATATCTTTACGCTCTATGGGTCTGTCAAGGTTTTTTCCGCACATTTAAGGGATAAAATGTGCAATACAATGTTGTGGCACGAATATGAGCTATGAAACCTGAATTTGAAGCTGTCCGACGATTTACTACATTTTTGAACTCGAACTTCCACTTGACCAACACAAGTGTTACAGTAGAAATAATAACGATAATAGTAGATACAAAGTTAGATGGAACGTCGAGCTATTGACACAACACTCCGGATGATTACGGCGAAAACATTTTGCCAGACGAGTGTTAAAGCTGAGGGTTGAGGAAATAGCACCGACCGACTCACGTAGACAAGTATCTTTGTATGTTGTGCTTTGTATATTGTATATTGTATCTGGTATCTTGTGTTTTGTATCTTGCTTGCTGTACTCCGTATCTTTCTCCTGTCAGAAGGCTCTGCGTGTGCGTGCTGGCGAGAGTTTTGTGGGAAACACTTTTCAAGATTAAAACAAAAAGATTTAAGTGAATTATGCCAAAGTTATTTGCCTGCTGGTGCGGCTCACGCACTCGACACTATCCTCCTCCGAGAAAGCCACATTATGCCACAGATACTGGTCGTGTAATATACATACATATGTATGTGCAAGCAAATAAATTCCGTACAACCGAGCTCGAAAAAATAGTGATCCACAAAGTCGTATTATTTATATTTCTGACAACAAATCCAAAGGAACCCTACCTACTCAATGGGAAATAAATAAATTGCAGAAAAAGCATTGCACTGCAACTTATATCTAATTAAGTGCTTGCACTGCAATATGCTTAGCATATGTAATCAAATTGTAATCAATCGAAAATACTGTTCTCAAAATTATTACCAAACATATTGGCACAGGTTTACCGGGAGATTTCCTTGCTGTTTTGAACGAATCTGTATTTTTGCCGCAAAAATGCCGGCATACATGAGTTCGTTTATTTATTTATACAGCCTGGAATATCTGTGCCTTCGAGTTTTTCCCCTTTGGCCAGTGCAGATTTATGCGAACGCATGTTTATTGTCGAGTTTATTAGATTTGATTTACTGTCCGGCGGTCGGAGAGACCGACTCAGTCTTGCCCCGCAGACTTTCCCCATCATGAAACAACATCGACTTCCCGTTCTAAGCCGCCCAATAATTGCATGTCATCGGGGCATCACGCAAGTTGTGTCACTCCCATCGTTCTGAGAACGATGGGTGAAATTTTTAATTGCACCGAGTGCTGGGCGGTGCTATAAGAACGAAGGTCTTCCATCCAAATCCCAGCATTGCCCGAGGAACCCCGCCACCATGCAGATCCTTCACAACTTACTCGCACCTCTCCTCGTCCTGCTGGCGATTTTGGCCAGCTGCGAGTCGCGGCGAAGCGGTAAGCATCCAATTTGATCACAACCGTTTAAATGCTAGTTATCGATTTACTCATATTCGTGCGAACCAGCTTATCGCTTGCCAAAAGTCCAGGGACGCAGTGCCTCCGGCAGTCCTTCGCCTCAGGACGTGGGCTCTGGGCGGGATTTTATGAAGAAGTTCATGCTGATGCGGGGACTCTTCCAGCAGCCGCCCAGTGACAATGTGATCGTTATCACGGAACCATCGAGCCTAACGTACACGACCACGCCCACGACGACCACCACAACAACGACTACAACCGTACCCGCGGCCAACACCACGGGTCGTTCCCTGCAGAAAGACGATGATGAGACCCAGGAAGCTCCAGTGACCACAATGACTAGCAGGGCTATCGAGGATCGACTGGATCTGCCGGCTGGCGCGAAGGAGTCCCAGGAAGTGGCAACACACAAGCAGCCGGAAAAGCCATTGCAATGGACAAAGAAGTTCAATCTGAAGCGCGCACAGTTAAACAGGAAAAAGAACTTGGTGAAGAAGACCCATCGACGGGTCCACAAGCATCCCCAGAAAAAGAAGAGTGTTCAAAAGAGGAAGCTGAACCAAAAGCAGTCGGCGAACCAGCAACGCAACACGGAATCCGCGGTCAGCTTCATCGAGCCCTATCACAACGATCGAAGCCAACCCCAATCCCAATCCCAATCCCAAGCTGGTGGTGGTCAGTCCAGCTCCGATTCTCGACTGCAGCGCATCTGGCGACGCTTCCAAATCGTCAAATAATTGCCACAAATTGTAGCAATACATCCATTTTTTTTTCTATTTTTTTAAGTGCAAAAAGAAACATGGCAGCAATTTAAAGCCCAATCAAATTCAGCAATGAGCATGGAAATTATACCAGAAGAAAACTTTGACAAGAATATAAATAAATAAACTAAGATTTACTTTAAGTTGTTGTTTATTTCCCAATTTAAACAACATTGTAAAACCTTCAGGCCTAATTCATTTCCATTTCTTAAATTTAAAGTTCAGCGGCATTTTTGCGCAACTCTTCGCTTGAAAAGCAAAGAACAAAGGTGTGCTGACACATAATGGAATATCTTGAAGTGGTTTAAAATTTCATTTTGCCATATTTTACGACAAATTGGGCAAGAACAAAAGGCTAACTTGCCCATGTATATATGTATGTGCGTACATTTGTGCAGGTATTTTATATAAACGTTTGACCCTGAAACTTTTCGCGTGGCACGTAAAGCAAAATGGTGCGACCTGGAAAATCCTTTCCCCCTTTCTACAGTTTTTTTTTATTTTTTTCTTGCGAACAATTGATAAGCAAGGGCAAAAGGTTTGGATTTGGCCAAGTCAACGACTTGCCCCGCACAATTTTATATAAATAAGAAAAGGGCACCAGGGACCAGACGAAATATGGGAACATGATATCCTGCCGCCGACTGTGGCAAGTTCAAGGATATCTCACCCGCCCATATACCATGAAAACAAGCCGTGAACCGGACCCGAAAACCGACTCAAAGGACTGTGACACGTGCACAGAAAAAAAGGTACCAGATTATGAATTGTATTAGAACATCGTTTCATAATTGACAACCAGATTTCCATGAAAGTATTTGTAAGCCTTTGCGCCCCAACACAAACGTAATTTCCAGGAAAATGAAAGAGAACATTTTTGACTTTTTAATATGCAAACAAGCCTTAGTTATGCCTCAACCATTTTTCAGTGTACGCCGCCTGTTCATTTCTCCGCTTTCTCCCGTCATCTCTGTTTATTTTTTCAATACCCAAAAATTTGTGCAAATTGGCAAATTACGCATAAATAGCGGAGAGAAGCAGCTGTCTTGAGGGGAATATTGAACTCTTGGCGCTGTCAGGTTCTGTGAAATTTATCTGCAGATCGTGGAGATTGGTGGGGACTGCTAACCGGTTTCCATCGATTAATTGGCTTGGGTTAGAGGTCAGACAAGATCAACTCCATCAAAGCAAGACAAGATCTTTGCTCGGCTGAATGATTTAAGGCAAATGGTTTCGTATCTAGATAGGAAGAGCTGTGAGGTCAGGGAGGTCAAAGAAAGCTGTAGAAGATACAACAAACATGCGATACCATCTAAACATGGCTTTGTTCTGCGCTAAATAATGAATCCAATGACAAAATCGTAGACATACGTATTAACAAATAGTAAGCAATGAAGGCAATATTTCAAGACATAATCGTTTGTATGTTCATTGCTCAGCAGAGAAAGTGATACCGGTTAATAAGCATAGAGCAAAGCTCTAATTGCAGACGTACGCAAGTGCTGCGATGCGACATCTTAGATTGGTTGGTAAGGAAATACACCCACCTAATTGCCAATTAATGCGGCAAATTCCATTCTTCTGGGCATCCCCATCTCGTTGCCCTCGGATTTCGGATTTCGGATTTCGGGTTTTGGATTTTGGATTTCAACAGGAGGGTCTCGGGTCTCGAGTGGCGGGCCAAAAACGAAATCAAAATCAATACGTCGAGTCATCGTCATGGCTTCTGCCGTCTTACATGTTACTTCACCTTTGACCCCGAGCCGAGCCGAGCCGAACCACGCCCCGCCCAGCCCCTACTTGTGGGGAAAGGATATTGAAAAAGGCGCCGCTCGGGGAAACTTTTTTCATTTTTAGTTTGTCAAGTTGGCACAAAAGGGCGGCGACGACGCCAACTCCAAGTTTTTCTCTATAAAAAGGCAAAAGCAAGGGGCAAAACGGGGGGATACCAACTTAACATTTGCACGCTTAAAATGCCCAAAAAAAAAAATAAAAAATAATAATAATAAGAAAAAAAGATCAGAGAAAGCCAAGGATAAAGGGGCGGTCCAAGTGCCAAAGTTGGTCCTAACTCCGGGGAAAACGGCACCCCTCTCTTCCCCCATCCCCTTGACCCACGGCCTTTGTGCCGACAACTTCACTGCACTTTCCCTGTTTTTCTCTTTTGCTTGCAGTATCTTGTGCCGCTTTCCCCTCGTAATTTCTTCGTTGGCCTTCTTTCTAGCTCTTTTGCTCGTTGGCCAAAACCCATTGCCTAGTTTTCGGCCGAGGTTTCTTGGTCGTCTGGCGCCATCTTGTGGCATTCATGGGAAACTTGGGCTAGCACAGTAAGGCCTCGTTAAAGAAAACAGCAAAATGTAATAGACAGCGCAATTAACAGCCAAAAATTTAACAAATTCTGATGGCAGACTAGCATTGATTGCGAAACAAGGCTCCTTTCATTTGGGCGGCTTTCTAAAATCATGCAGCTTACATTTTCGAGCTCGCCCTGTCGTCGGATGGCAATTTAAATTGCGATGCATCTCGGTGTATCCATTTACGAAATGCCAAAACACAGACCCACCGGGCACATATGTATAAATCAGTGTAATTTATGCACGAGTGCGACAAAAATGGGCGATTTGCTGGGGGTTTGGCGGCAGGTGGCAATACAAAAGCAATTGTATAATTGCATTTTAATATGATGACTGCTGCAGTTTTACTGCCCGCAGCATCAGCAACTGCAGTAGCAGCAGCAGCGGCAGCAGCAGCAGCAGCAGCAGTAATAGGCAGCAACAAACCAGCAAAATTCAGCAAAGGCAAATTAATGAATCCAGGGCAAAACTGAAATGGCACGCACAGTGGATTGGGCTGTCAACGTCTTTTTTTGTTTTTTTTTTACGTTTCACTAAAGATAATTAAAATTTAAGCCGGGGAATTGATTATATGCTATCCATTCTAAATCCGAAAAAGGAAATATAACCATTGACAATTCATTTTCATTAGAATAATGATGCATGTGTTAATAATAATAATTCTATTCTATTCTACGTGCATGGCGATTTTCGCTAATGTGGATTGATCAAAAATTGTGCAATTGGAATTGCCCCCAGGGAATTGTACTTTAATCTGAACTTACAATATTTTGACCTGTGGCAAAATGCATTATGGCCAACGATTCGGCTCGACTGAGCATGGCCACAAATTATTCGAGACTTACAAAAATGAATGGCAAAGTGTTTTAATTAAATGGCATTTGCAGGGCAGCCAAGTAAGTGTGCATATATTTTGTCCTCACCAAGGCTACGAGCGATTCGAATGCATTTATTTATTATGCCAGGGCACTTTTGATTACGTGTGTGTGTGTGTGTGTGGTGTGGGCGTGGCGTGGTTTGGGTGATGAGTAAATACTCCATGTCTAAATTAATGCCGGCAATTAAAATGCTTAACACTAGTTCGGGCAGCCAACACGATCAACTCACTCGGTTGGCCAGCTATTCCATTGTGTTGCCTGCCGCAGCAGATACAATTGTATCTCTATGTGCATCTCCGACTGCAACTGCAACTGCAACAGCAACTGCAACGGCAACTGCAGCTGCAAGGATGAGAAGTATGCTGCTGGACAACTTGCGGCCATACTAAGCAGCTGCGGTGGACCCAATGCCTACCGAATGCATTTTCCAGATCGTAAGAGCACTCTCCTTGAGCGCCGAGCTCGCAAGTCCTCAGTTTCGAGTCCTTTTGGTCGCTGCCGGTGCCTTAGGTCCGAATTTGGTCAAATGTTGGCCAAGACAGACGCTCTTTGTTGCCGAGCCCATTGTTGCCAGCTTAGCCGCACAGTGGGTTTGCAGCCATTCGCAACTTCATGCATTTCTGTGGATGTACTGCAACTACTGCTGTTCAGTTCGAAATGGGTGCATATTTATGCAATACAAATGATAGTCCAGAATTCAGTTGGTGCTAGCAAGGACACACTGTTCTTCAGTCAACTAATGCCAATAATTATAGTGCTGATGACGCATTGAAACTCTGACACAGAAGCTCTTCCCCTGGCAGAAGCAATCGAGCTGACTGATGCGCTCAACTAATTCAAGGAGTGCGGATAGACCAACCACCAACCAACCGACCGACCGACCGACCGACCGACCGACTGACTGACTGACGTCTGTCCGGAAAATCTGCCACAAGCGGACAAATGGACGGGCAATAATTTCCATGTAAACGGTGGGAAACTCGAGCTTCGCTTAAATAAACATCTTGGCAAGCTGAAATGCTGAATGCATTCGGCTTTCTCGCCAGCAAATTGCTTCCACCCGATGCACTGACAAGAGCTTTAAAATGTTGACAAGCTGGCTGAAGTGCGTCGGTATATGAAGGAGATTACTAATAAAGTACCTACCAGTGTTACGGATTGAACTAGATGAGCGCTCTTCAAATTACACATGTATATATATATCTAATCGAGCATGTCCCATCTAAATATTTCCATTTATTCGATAAATTAAATAACTTCAACTATTGACCGAATTTAATGAGCAAGCTTGCCCAATTTTTTCGACCATTTCTATGGCTGTCTGCAAACTGATTTAGTTGGGCTTAAAATTTATTTTTTTTTTGGTGGGTGGTGTGGTGTGGGGGGAAGGGGGGGGACGTGCTTTTAGGCATCTGTGCACTCGACTCTCAAAAGACCCAACAATGAAAGCCAGCTGCAATTTAATTACCGCTCCAGGGGCGGGTTAATAGGGATGGGATCTGCAGGTTTTCCAGATGGACTGCTGCCTCTGCAACCATAGTTTTTGGCATATAGTTGCATATTGCCGGATACGCCATCTCGCTCTCTCCCCCCACCGGGTTTTAATCCTCCTCGCTGTCGCCGCTTTTGGCGCAATCGAGTGCTTTCTTGCCGCTGTTGCAGTTGCGATTATTGCGAAAATAAAAAGGAAAACGCATAAAAATTTTACTACCACCTCTTAGCGCCCCCTCCCCACTTTCCCTTG